CTACGTGACTCTACCGAATAAACCAAGAAGACAAGGCATCATGTTTGCAATAACCACAACACAAGCAGTCAAAATGCAAACAAAAAGAAACAACTCTGATGATGATGATAATGATATGCACTGTCCTTTTTGCCACTGGTAAAGGAGGTCTCTCAGTGTAACAAACCTTGCACAATCGGCTGCGTCGGGTGGTGGCGGGTTTAACGACACACATTAATATATTTACGCGATCGAACCAAAAAAATAAAACCTCTATCATGGATGATATCGGTGGCGAAAGCCTCCGCCGGGGTGTTAAACAGGCTTAATGCGACACAATACAAACGAACAGGCGTCGACGTGACCGTGCATCGCGTCAGCATTTGGCGTCTGAAGGGAAACACATCGTCGATGAAATAAAACAACAGCAGCAGCAGCGGCCGCGCGCAAAGTACGGCGAAACCATTCTGTCGCGATTTGCGCTCACGAGCACGCGGGCATTGTGTCGATCGCAGTTTGTGTCGACCGCAATGTGTCGTTCGCGAGCAAACGAGGGACGACGGGGATTTGGTTTGTTTTTTTCTTTCCGCGTGGGACTTTCGGTAAACGTTAGGGCCATTTTGGATTGATTTTGGCATTTTATTGTGACGTCATACGTAACCGTGTTAGAATGTCGATAGGTCGCGTAGGTTAATTATTTGAAACACTTTGAACTGCGCATTCTTGAGATTCTATCTTAAGTTCCGTCAAAAAAACACTCATTTTTTTTTACGGAAACAATACTGCGTATGTTTTTTGGTAGAATTTAAGCAACCGTTAACGCGTCACGTCAGAGCACCTTTTGGCGGGAAAAATCGCCGGAAGTGACGCCACGGACGTGATGTCACTTCCTGTGATGTCACATTTTCGGAACAATCCGAATTTTTGTTTTTAAACAAATTATATCTAACATCCCATTTTGTTGTGGGATAAATCCGATATTTGGGAGCACGCTTTTAATACAAACATGAAGATCCATGCCTGTCAAACCCATTATCAGTGCCTTACCTTACTACAGACCAATTCACACCTTATTGGTCACCCCATGCCCCTTATACATCTCAACGTTCATCCGACAAAGTCCCATCACAAGGGAGAAACACAAATAGACAAACACATGTTTTTGCCCGTATTGAAACGGCTGTACGCCGTATGGACCTGCAAACTCAATTTCCCTGTACAAGAATACGGGGTAAACCGTATGGGTTGACAGCTATGAAGATCCATCTTATGGCCTACTATTGGTAGAAGTGTTGGTAAGTGAACGCACACAAATATGCCAAACAGACAACTGGAGGACCCGATGAAAAATCCACGCGACCACGGAGAGAGATACGAAAAACTCCAAATTTCTAGCAGGCGTCCGGGTCGAGATCAAACCAATGACCTCCTGTGTACTAGGCGAGATAGTTAACATCTCACCACAGCGTTGTGACGGAGTGACCGCCAACGAATTGGTAAGCGAACACACAAATATGGACTTACCCCCCAAAACAGAGAATTTCCCGCAGGCGTCACAGGGTCAGGATCGAACCCACGACCTCCTGTATACCAGGCGAGGTAGTTAACATCTCCTAGCCATCGTGATGATGTTGAGAGACGCAAACTCCAAATATACAGCAGCAGGCGTCACAGGGTCAGGATCGAACCCACGACCTCCTGTATACCAGGCGAGGTAGTTAACATCTCCTAGCCATCGTGATGATGAGAGATGCAAACTCGAAATATACAGCAGCAGGCGTCACAGGATCAGGATCGAACCCACGACCTCCTGTACACCAGGCGAGGGAGTTAACATCTCCTAGCCACCGTGATGATGATGACGAGAGAGACACGCAAACTCCAAATATACAGCAGCAGTCATCACAGCATCAGGATCGAACCCACGACCTCCTGCGTACCAGGCGAGGGAGTTAACATCTCCGAGCCACCGCGGGGTTGGGGGGGGAGATGGAGCGATGAAATCCGTAAGGCGCTGCGAAGGATCATAATGTCGCAGGATCACAACAACTCCCTGGGGGGCACGCTTGCCCAGCAGTGGATCGAGCATAGTCGATGGGCGCTTGACGATGAAAATTCTTTTCCTCGGTGACCTGGAGCCAATAGTTCGAAATGGGGCCGTCCATAAATGACGTCACGCGATTTTGGACGATTTTTGACCCCCCCCCCTCGTCACACGGCGTCACAAAAAAGTCAGACCCCCCCCTCAAATATGACGTCATAAAGCTCTGCCCCCCCCACTCCCCAAAACCATATTTCCATTTTGAAAATAAAACATGCTTCAAATCGCCTTAAACTATTGTCATTGTAGTGCGTATTTAATGTGGCGCTGCACTCTGATGTTGTAGGAGTGTTGTTATAATAATTAGTGTTGTTATAACAATTCTATATTTATTTAAAGTTGCGCATTTTGATGTGACGTCACATTCTCAACCCCCCCCCCCCCAGTCACACATCGTCACAAATGTCTGACCCCCCCCCCCCCCAGGTGCGTGACGTCATTTATGGACGGCCCCAATTCCACGTTCTTATGACAAGGCCCAGTCCATCGCAGTCTTTGGTAAATGCTTTCTGCCGACATAACTGCACCTGTTGTTTGAGTCTTACTGGTTCTCATTTTACCAACCCCGGATGGAGTGATGATGATGATTGGTCAGCATAGGGCAGTGCGGAAAAGCACACAGTTGTACTGTACTTATATGCTCCCACTCATACTGCAGATAATCTCCCTGCGTTCTCACCAACCCGCATTGCCCAACGTGGTTAAGTATGGTCATGTTTTATTTTATTATTTTATTATTTCCATTCTACGTGACTTTACCGAAAGAACCAAGAAGATGAAACAAGGGTGTCTGCCACATGTATGTTACACGGTAACGTGTAGCACATGAACATTTCGCATGGCGCGTGAACACAAACACGTGTACACACACGCAAAGACAAAGATGACCCGTGTAGCCTTTAACAGACTGTCGGGGCAAGTGCTGTTAGCGAGCACTTATGAAGGTCGGCACGGCACACGAGGGGGTGGGTGGCCAGCACCACGCCCGGCCGCCTTTGTCTCCCCAGTGGCGATGTTTACGCACCGCACCAGGTACACATTTGAGGCCGAGTCGACCTAGGGGAGGCCCAAGACCGGTTCAGATAATCGTCACTGGTGTTGGCCGTTCGTAGCGCAGCGTAGCGCTAACCGCTGCACCACCGCTCCCCACCATATATGTGTATACACAAAGATAAAGATCCCCCGTATAGCCTTAACAGACTGTAGGGGCAAGTGCTGTTAGCGAACACACACACAGGGCATATATATACACAAATGTTGAATAGACCCACACACGCGTACAGAGGCAGACACACACGCACACACCACACACAGATAAATACCCACACACACGCACGCACGCGTGTACACACATGTGAATACAGACCCACACACGTGTACACAGGCAGACACACACAGCACACATACGCACACGCGCGTACACAACGGTGAACACCCACGGCACACACACGTGTACAGACAGAAGGGGATATACACACAGACACACAAACACCACGGCCAACATACACACACACGTGCACAGACAGAAGGGGACACACATACAGACACACACACGTGTATAAACACAAGGGGACAAACACACAGACACACACACACCACAGGCAATATACACACACACGTGTACAGACAGAAGGGGACACACACAGACACACACAAACACACACACACATACACACACACAGACACACACACCACAGGCAACATACACACACACGCACGTGTACAGACAGAAGGGGACGTACACACAGACACACACACACACAGACACACACACACCACAGGCAACATACACACACACGCACGTGTACAGACAGAAGGGGATATACACACAGACACACACAGACACACACACACCACAGGCAACATACACACACACGCACGTCTAAAGACAGAAGGGGACGTACACACAGACACACACAGACACACACACACCACAGGCAACATACACACACACGCACGTGTACAGACAGAAGGGGACGTACACACAGACACACACAGACACACACACAGACACACATACACACACACACACAGACACACACACACAGACACACACACACAGACACACACACACCACAGGCAACATACACACACAAGCACGTGTACAGACAGAAGGGGATATACACACAGACACACACAGAAACACACACACACCACAGGCAACATACACACACACGCACGTGTACAGACAGAAGGGGACGTACACACATACAGACACACACACACACAGACACACACACACCACAGGCAACATACACACACACGCACGTGTACAGACAGAAGGGGACGTACACACAGACACACACAGACACACACACACACACCACAGGCAACATACACACACACGCACGTGTACAGACAGAAGGGGACGTACACACAGACACACACAGACACACACACACCACAGGCAACATACACACACACGCACGTGTACAGACAGAAGGGGACGTACACACAGACACACACAGACACACACACACCACAGGCAACATACACACACACGCACGTGTACAGACAGAAGGGGACGTACACACAGACACACACAGACACACATACAGACACACATACACACACACAGACACACACACACAGACACACACACACAGACACACACACACGTGTACAGACAGAAGGGGATATACACACAGACACACACAGACACACACACACCACGGGCAACATACACACACACGCACGTGTACAGACAGAAGGGGACGTACACACAGACACACACACACACATACACACACAGACACACACACAGACACACACACACAGACACACACACACAGACACACACACACAGACACACACACAGACCACACACACACAGACACACACAGACACACACACAGACACACATACACACACACAGACAGACACACACACCACGGGTATATACGCCGCACGCTGCACTCACCACTCGGCCCCTGCGCTGAGCACCACGCTGAGTCTCTGCTGCTGCTGCTGTTCGGCTCCGCGCGATGCACGGGAGGGGAGGGGGCTCTACCGTTAGAGGGGCGGGGCTTAGTGGGAAGGGGCGGGGCTTAGTGGGAAGGGGCGTGGCTTAGTGGGAAGGGGCGTGGCTTAGTGGGAAGGGGCGTGGCTTAGTGGGAAGGGGCGTGGCTTAGTGGGAAGGAGCGAGGTTTGATGGAAAGGGGAGGGGCTTAGTGAGAAGGGGCGGGGCTTAGTGGGAAGGGGCGGGGCTTCTCGGCGGGGTGGGGCGAGGAGGGACGGGTGGGGGGGGGGCAAGATGGCCCGGGTGGGGGGAGGGCTAGGTGTGGCACGGGTGGGGGGGGGGCGAGATGGTCCGGGTGGGGGGGGGAGGCTAGGTGTGGCACGGGGGGGAGGCGAGATGGTCCGGGTGGGGGGGGTGGCTAGGTGTGGCACGGGTGGGGGGTGGCGAGATGGCCCGGATGGGGGAGGGGTGAGGTGGCACGGGTGGGGGGGAGGGGTGAGGTGGCACGGGTGGGGGGGGGAGGCTAGGTGTGGCACGGGGGGGGGGGGTGTGGCGAGGTGGCACGGGTGGGGGAGGGTGGCGAGATGGCCCCGGGTAGGAGGGAGGGTGGCGAGGTGGCACGGGTGGGGGGGAGGGGTGGCACGGGTGGGGGGAGGGGTGAGGTGGCACGGGTGGGCGAGATGGCCCGGGTGGGGGGGAAGGTGTGGCACGGGTGGGGGGGGGCAGGAGAGCTTGATGGCCCGGGTAGGGGGGGGGCTAGGTGTGGCACGGGTGGGGGGGGGCGAGATGGCCCGAGTGGGGGGGAGGGGGGCGAGGTGGCACGGGTGGGGGGGAGGGGGGCGAGGTGGCACGGGTGGGGGGGATGGGTGGCACGGGTAGCCGAGGTGGCACGGGTGGGGGTGGAGGCGTGGCCTGAGAGTATTAGACCCGCCCATAGGCACGCCCCCAGCTCAACCCCCCCCAAGAATGGCATCACAACCACGATGCATTAATGACCTTCAAAATATTCACATATTTTCGTTTGTGAGCTCACAACTATTATTATTTGATCGTCAACTTGCTCTGCATTAATTTTTGTGGTGTCAAATCACCTTTATAGACACCTATGTTTTTAAATAATCACCTTACTAATATCACAATCATCGTGTTTGCGCGCGGACAAATACTATTTCTGTTTCTTGCTTCTTCCACTAAACTCATGTACATAGAAAGTGTGTGTAAGTCGATGTGTGTGTCGGTCTTTTTCGCCCGGGCAACAACTTGCAATCATAAGTGACAGAGTTAATTTCGGGTAAAATCAATGAAAATGGGGTATGCCGATAGCATAAAAATGAGATGTGATAGAGCAAATCTGAGATCAAATTTGGAATCGGCACCCTGAAATTAGTCTAAAACAGCTGCAAAAGTCCAGGCCATAATTTTTTTCTAGATTTGAAGCTTTCGTGACTGCAAGGATTCATATTCTTAGGTTTTTTCGGTAAAGTCCCGTAGGTAAAAAACTTTAAATTAATAAAAGTAAAATAAAAATAATAAAATCACGACGTTTCGTAGGCAACACAAGCTTCCGTCTTCAGGTGGAACCGTCACAGCACGATAGCTGTATCAAGTAAATAAGAGATTACAAGAGATACCACTCCGTATATATATTATGGCGAGGTGCGGCTTGAGACTACGGCTAGCCTACATAACAAAATGCTGCAAATGATATTTATTTTACTTTTATTAATTTTAATTTTTTACCTACGTGACTTTACCGAAAAAACCTAAGAATATTTTTTGTTTGTTGACCAGTGTTATGTAAGATACGGGTATCAGCTTTATGTTATTTTATACGTGGAGAGGCAGCGACGTAAGGGAGACGCATTATCCGCTTACCTATCCAGGAGCAATTTAGAATGCCCCTTGAGCTGACATCTATCATCATTTGAATACGTTGCTTTGGTTAAAGGTGCAGCCCTGCAATTTCCCGCGCGCGCTACTGCTGCTGTAACGACATCCACTCCAGGGAACTCTACAGAGCCCCCCCCACCGACACCCCCCCACACACATTTGACGTTTTGGTCTACTCTTCCACTTTGCCCCACCACACGCGAACTAGCGATCGACTTAGCTGCGGTGAACTCATTGGAACGGCGGCGGGGGAGGATTTAAGGATCTTGCCACGGTGACGCATATTTAGTCTGCGTGTCTCTCTCTCTCATCATCATCACGGTGGCTCGGAGATGTTAACTACCTCGCCTGGTACACAGGAGGACGTGGGTTCGATCCCGAACCCTGATGCCTGCTGCTGTATATTTGGAGTCTGCGTGTCTCTCTCTCTCTCATCATCATCACGGTGGCTAGAAGATGTTAACTACCTCGCCTGGTGTGCAGGAGGTCGTGGGTTCGAACCCGGACCCTGATGCCTGCTGCTGTATATTTGGAGTCTGCGTGTCTCTCTCTCATCATCATCACGGTGGCTCGGAGATGTTAACTACCTCGCCTGGTACACAGGAGGTCGTGGGTTCGATCCCGAACCCTGATGCCTGCTGCTGTATATTTGGAGTCTGCGTGTCTCTCTCATCATCATCATCACGGTGGCTATGAGATGTTAACTACCTCGCCTGGTACACAGGAGGTCGTGGGTTCGATCCCGAACCCTGATGCCTACTGCTGTATATTTGGAGTCTGCGTGTCTCTCTCTCATCATCATCGCGGTGGCTAGGAGATGTTAACTACCTCGCCTGGTACACAGGAGGTCGTGGGTTCGATCCCGAACCCTGATGCCTGCTGCTGTATATTTGGAGTCTGCGTGTCTCTCATCATCATCACGGTGGTTAGAAGATGTTTACTCCCTCGCCTGGTACACAGGAGGTCGTGGGTTCGATCCCGGACCCTGATGCCTGCTGCTGCTGTATATTTGGAGTCTGCGTGTCTCTCCCTGTGGTCGCGTGGATTTTTCTCCGGGTCCTCCGGTTTTTCCCCTCCACGTTGAGAATCAGCGTCACCACGCGTTTCGAGTCTTTGGCCGCTGTACATTTACACGTGATGGGCCTGGTCGCTTCTGAAACACATTCCTGCGGTGGGAGCTGGTAGGAACGTTGGGTTGCTCGGTCAATGGCCAGGGTCAACGGCGGCGTGGTGTATTCCGCAAATATGCCCGACTGTGAGGGCGGACACAAGCCGGCGTGAGTAGGTTAAACGTTGAGTTTCATAAGGGCACCACGGGGTGGCCAGCCCCTCCCCACCCAGCCCTACCCCTTCACCCCCCACCCAACCCCACCCTCCCCACACCCAGCCTCTCCCCACCCTCCCCACCCAGCCCCTCCCCACCCAGCCCCTCCCTCCCCACCCAGCCCCTCCCTGCACGACGGACACAATAATCCCCTGTGGGCTGGTGTAACCAGGAGGTTCCTACCAGTAAAATGAGCTGTAGAGCTCAGTGGGCCTGAGCTGGTAACAATGCACAATTGTTACATTTTGGTAAAATACAGGGGTGTTTTAAAAAAAATGGACCCAATTTCAATATAGCGATTTCAAATCGGGTCCATCTTTTCGAAAGACCCCTGTAGTTTTAACTGCCACGCCAGGAGATGGAATCGAACCGGTCATCCTCTGGATCACACACCCGGTGCGCTGAGCGATAAACACACCGCGGTGGCAACTTTAAATTCCACGTTGCTTCGAGTTATTCTTAAACCGGACACCTTGGGCTTGGGTTTCCCCGTCAATGCGTTGCTTGGGATGGCATTGAGAGACGGCAAGATGGGCTCGGGATTTAAAAGAACGCACACGCAAAAAGATCCCCCGTGTAGCCTGTAACAGACTGCTGGGGCAAGTGGTGTTAGCGAGCAGCACCTATGAAGGCCGGAACGGTACACGAGGGGGTGGGTGGCCAGCACCACGCCCGACCGCCTTTGTCTCTCCCAGTGGCGATGTTTACTGCACACCGCACCAGGTACTCATTTGAGGCTGAGTCGACCTAGGGGAGGCCCAGGACCGGTTAGAATAATCGTCACTGTGGTGTTGGCCGTGAGCGGGAATCAAACTCGGGTCGCTGGGTTCGTAGCGCAGCGTAGTGCTAACCGCTGCTCCACCGCTCCCCATTGAGAGACAGAAAGATGGACACGGGAATTAAAGAACAACAACAACAACATTATCGTAAAGTAACTGTATTTGTTTTATTTGTTATACAGCCAGATAATACGACAAATCGCTAACCTTAAACACCCAGTCGTTTATAAAAGTTGAAGGCGGCGTAGTACTATAGTAATAGAGCAAGTGCAGAATCAGTGAACCTGAATTGATAGCTTGAAAGCATTTAGCGCGGGGCCCTTGAAAGTGCGGGGCCCGTAGGATAATCCGGCACTGGGGTAAGCTTCTCCGACACACACACGCACGCACACACGTGCACACACACGTAGATCCCCCGTATAGCCTTAACAGACTGGAGGGGCAAGTGCTGTTAGCGAGCACCTATGAAGTCCGGAACGGCACACGAGGGGGTGGGTGGCCAGCACCACGCCCGACCGCCTTTGTCTCCCCAGTGGCAATGTTTACACACCGCACCAGGTACTCATTTGAGGCTGAGTCGACCTAGGGGAGGCCCGCGACCGGTTCAAATAATCATCACTGGTGTTGGCCCTGAGCGGGAATCCAACTCGTGTCGCTGGGTTCATAGCGCAGCGCGCTGACCACTACACTACCACTCCCCACACACACACACGTGCACACACAACCGTGCACACACACACACGTGCACACACACACACGTGCACACACACACACACACGTGCACACACACACACACACGTGCACACACGCACGCACACACACATGATTGCCTTGGTCGGGAAAACGCCACCGCCGATGTTCGAGACCGATAACCAATCGGGCAGGAATGGAACGCATCCGGAAAATTTTCGTCCAAAGCCAAGGAGACGGAGCGATAAAATCGGCTCGCGTGGGTCAATAATTATTACACCGCGGGACAGGACGTGGGGAGGACTTGAGCCAGCAGTGGATTGATCATGGCCGACGACGACGATGATGGTGGAGTATGTGCACAACTCGAAT